GGTTTAGTTCAAATTCCAATCACCTGAAGAAGGCTGGAGCGTACAGCGTCCAAAACATTGTTAATATGGCAATGAAGATGGGGATAACTGTTTGAATAATTTAAATAATGTAAATCGTCATCATACCTCAGAGATATAGACAGATAGACAATACTAGAAAGAGTTAGTGGACTTGAAGATATTTTCCTAAAAAAAATTATTTTAAGAGAAAGATTTTTTAAAATTTCAACATATTACTAACTGCTCAGTTAATGAATGGTAATGGTGTTATTAGCTGTTTCCTTATAAGGAAACATTTATTCACCAAGCAGCCAGTACTGTTTTAAGTTGAAATTTATAAAATCTTTCTCTTAAAAGAATTTTAACTCCCATCTATTTTTAACTTGCATCAATACTAGAAAGAGCTATAACAGTGGACTTGAGAAGTTTAATTTCCTAAGAAAAAAATATTTAATAAACCAATCCAACTATTCAAATGTAATGTCAATCGACATCTATCCACTATCCTTCTCCTCATCCTTTCCTCTATCACTCCTATCTGATCTTGTTCCAAATCTTCTGTAACCCCTTGTGTCCTAGTAGCTTTCTGCCTTGCTTGGGGTGAAAAAAAAAAAAATGTAACTAGAATGGAAACTAATGACATCATCAAGATGCTGACTTTCCACACAACCTTAAATAAAAGGTTTGAAAGGAAATTCCTTTCAATACAAGAAAGAGTTATAACCTGACTTAAGACGTTTAATTGCCTGAATGTTTTAGGAAAAAGAAAAAAAAAGTTTTAATAAATTCCAATCAACAGTAATGTTAACTTTTTGGTAAATGAATGCTGAAGTTCCTGCATGTTAATATTAGCCGTTTCCTGATAAGTAAGCATTCAACATTCATTGAACAAGCAGATTGTGTTACTATTGCTTGAAATTTATAAGCTTTCTCTTGAAAGAATTTTTCAGGAAAATAGGTTTCTCAAGTTCAGTAGCTTTTATTGCACTTTCCAGTATTGATGGGGTCTTGCTTTCTAATCTTTTATTTAAGGAGTATCAACATCTTGATCATGCCATTATTTTTACTTCAAGGTGCACATGATATCCATTTTAGTTGTCGCTGCTGTTGAAAGTCTTCAAGTAATGTGCTTTCTGTTATTTGGTACAGTTCTTTGTTCATGATTCTGCAGCACCAGTCCACAAGGTTTGGAGTGTGGTTTTTACCAAGACCCTTACGTTTTACTTGCTCAAAGCTCTTTTTAACCATTGATATTGGTATACAGTTGTATATAGCTGACTATATGGAAACACCTAATTTTACAATCACCCTTGCCATTTAGACCAACCATATACAAATTATGTGAGTACATCAAAAATAGAAAAAGATGGATGGAAAAGATGATAAAGATTATTTTCCCTTCTAGTTACATACACTACCTATTTTAGTTGTTATTACTGTTGAAAGTGTTCAAGCAATATGGCTTCTGTCATCTGGTATAGTAATGTTAATATTAGCCATCTCCCTACAAGGAAACATTTGGCATTCATTGACGAAGCAGCCAGTACTTCTTTCAGTTGAAACTTGTAAAATCTCTCTTAAAACAATTTTTCAGGAAAACAGTTTTCTCAAGTCCAGTAGCTAGTATTGCTCTTTCCAGCACTGATGGGGCTTTCCTTCCTAACCTTTTATTTAAACAGTATCAAATGTCAACATCTTGATTGTGTCTTTGTTTTCTCTTAGAATTACATGTGCTATCCATTTTAGTTGTTACTGCTGTTGGTGGTCCTCAAGTTATATGGTTTCTGTTATGTAGTACAGTTCTTGCTTTGTGATTCTGCAGCACCAATCTACAATGTTCAAAGAAGTATAGTCTTTGGCCAGACACTCAAGGCTTCACTCGCTCAATGATGAATATTTACTGTATGTAAATGGCTTATCTTACTGTTATCATTATTACATAATTGAAAAATCTTGATTCTGGGAGAAAATTACTATTTAATATAAGTTGGAACCATGCTTGGCACAAAACTTTATTTCTTAATCATTCCAGAGAATATCAAATTCCTAATCAATATCTCAAATACAGCTATAATTTTTCTGGGCAGGTGCTCTAGTCATCAAGAATGTAACAGTTTGTTTGTTCTGTTAAAGATGTGCATACTCAAGTGTTATTGCTACATGCAAACAGTCAACATTAAACCAAGCCTGACCAGATTTTCGATAACTCACTTGAGGCTTTTGATTTTGCCGCATCTCCATCACTCCAACCATCGTCTGTGTCAGAGGAGACCAAGTTGTTATGACAGTTTGTCAGCATAAATCTTCGTTGGTCTCTTTCTTCACCATCAATTTCCTGTGGATATAAAATGAAATAGAAATAAGCTTGGCATGTGAAAAACCATTGTGCAGATAATCTTATAGAGCATGCAAGAGAAAGCACTTGCCGGTACAGCTCAGTGGGCAAAATGCAGGGTTAATAGTTACCGTATTTTCTTGTGCATAATGTTGAAGACATGGCCTTTTTCTGTAAAGAAGTGGCATTTATCTCACACACACACATACATATATATATATATATATATAATATATTTCTCCATAATATAGAAACTCAGTCTATCAAATTCTATTTCAAAATAAGTAAACTTAAGAAAAACAAAGAGATTGATTGATTTGTTATTTTATGACTCATATAGGAAAACAAATTTTTCTATATGAAGAATAATTTTAGACAAATTTTAAAGATTTCCATAACACACACACACACACACACACACACACATATATATATATATATATAAATTTAACAATCAGGAGATCAATTAAAATATGTGACGACAATCTCGTCAGCAGTAATTTCAAAATGACCACTTTAACACTTTATTTAAAAAAAACCCACAAAGAACACTACATAATTATCTTTCAAAAAAAAATAACAGGTGTATGATGATTGAAAGACAGGACATTGAGTGTAATTGGAAGGGAAGTGGAAAAGGAGGTGAAAGAAAGAATGAAATAAAATATATTGCTAATTTCTAATATTGCCATAGTTTGCAAATGCCAGTATAATTGTTATATTTTTTTACCTTTTTTATTTTTTTTTTTTACTACCAGGTCCCTGTTATTTTTTTCTTTTAAACTCCACATGTGACTAGCAAGTTTGGAGTATATCTTGGGTTTGATAGCTTAAAACTTGATGTGTGATTGTACCATCTGCGCTTAGAAGGATTTTTCATGCAGCCTATATATGTTTTAATTTGACCATTTATATTTGTTACTTCTGCTTTTTATAATGGACTCAGTTTTGCAAGCTCCATTTAATGGACATCTAGTTTTATTTCTACAGTTGCATAAATTACTAGTATTATTTTGCTGCACATTGGTTTTGAGGTTTATTTTGTCTTTTTATTATTGTATCTAAATTACTTGTACAGCATATACACATGTGCCACCCCCATCCCCCCATAACAATTAAGTTACATATTTGATTTCCCTTTTCACTGTATACATTTACAATACACTTGTATTCCTGCCCCTTTTCATTCTTTCCTTCACCGCCTTTTCCACTTCCCTTTCCATTGCACTCAATGTCCTGTCTTTCAATCATCATACACCTGTTATTTTTTTTTTTGTGGTCATTTTGAAATTATTGCCCAACAAGAATGCCAAGTTGAAACCATGGTCACATATTTTAATTGACCTCCTGATTTTTAAACTTAAAAGCTTTACATGTCATAATTATTTTTATTTTTACTTATTTTTTTCTCACTTTTTAATACTACCATTCCCTGGTTTGATTCAACTCTGACCATTTAACATTTATGTATTATATATAAAATTGTGTATTTGGGCAGCAACAATCTTTTATATCAGTTTCACTGAAGACAACTTAGGAGACATTGCGATTAAGCTATTTGTCAAAATTTTCTTGCATTCATGCAAGTGATTTTTATGGACATAAGTGTCTATAAAAACTGTCCAGATCTGTAGATCCAAATGCTTTTAACTAATCTATTAACTATTATTAAGAACTATTTTTTTTACTTAACTGAATATGTAAATTATAAATATATATATATATATATATATATATATATATATATATATATATATATATATATGAAGAAAAAATATATACGGAAAAAAAAAAAACAAAAAACCCTATATACAATTATGCTGTTTTTAATGTTAATATGTCAACGTCTGACGTTTCGGTCTAATAAGCCATCTTCAGGACATATTCATAAATATAACATTATCAATACAACATGACAAAGACGATGTACATAAGAACAAGACTTATCCAAACAAATAACTGTCTTCTCTTATTTACTATCCCATTAAGGATGTGGGCGAATGTGGCTCTCCACAACTTCCTCTCATTATTTGCTTTTAGTAATGTATATCCCTTTACTATACCTCCCACTCCATGTTCTGTGATCCATTTACACAAGTTTATCATTGTTTCCTTTTGCTCCTCGTCTTCAATATGTCTTGTGTGTTTCAAATTCTCGGGCCTTCTTTCCTCAAGCATAATTTAAATGACAATTTATCAATCGCGATTGATAAATTGTCATTTAAATTATGCTTGAGGAAAGAAGGCCCAAGAATTTGAAACACAAGACATATTGAAGACGAGGAGCAAAAGGAAACAATGATAAACTTGTGTAAATGGATCACAGAACATGGAGTGGGAGGTATAGTAAAGGGATATACATTACTAAAAGCAAATGAGAGGAAGTTGTGGAGAGCCACATTCGCCCACATCCTTAATGGGATAGTAAATAATAGAAGACAGTAGAGGGAGGAAAGGAAAAGAAGATATTAATTAAAATTAAGCAGGGAACCTGTTCAAGTCTAGAGTTAACCATTATCTTCCCCTCCTATCCATATAAACAACCCCTTAACATAACCCTCTACCTCGAGTGGCCCCAGGTCCTTGTACCGGGTGAATTTTACCATAAGAAGAAAAGAAATGAAGTGCTGAATAAATAAAGAAATAAAGGCAATAATGAAATAGTTTAAATGAAGTTCAATATAGATTCATTGATAAATTTCAGGCAAACCAAACGTTTGAAGTCAAGGTAAAAAAGAATGAATGAAATAACAAAGAAAAATAAATCGGAAAAGGAGGAGAGGAAATCAGTTAAAGAAATGAATAAATGAGGAATGAGTGTTAGGGAAGGAAAAAAGGAAAAAGAATGAAATAAAAGAAAAAAGTGTAAAATGAAAAGTAAAAAGGATGAAGGAAAAAAGAAAAAGAATGAAATAAAAGAAAAAAGGGTAAACTGAAAGAAAAATAAAAAGGATGAAGGAAAAAGAAAAAGAATGAAATAAAAGAAAAAAGGGTAAACTGAAAGAAAAATAAAAAGGATGAAGGAAAAAGAAAAAGAATGAAATAAAAGAAAAAAGGGTAAACTGAAAGAAAAATAAAAAGGATGAAGGAAAAAGAAAAAGAATGAAATAAAAGAAAAAAAGGGTAAAATGAAAGAAAAATACAAAAGATGAAGGAAAAAAAAGAATGGAAGAAAAGTAAAAAGAATGAAGAAAAAAAAAGAATGAAAGAAAAGTAAAAAGGATGAAGGAAAAAATGAAATAAAAGAAAAAAGGGTAAAATGAAAGAAAAGTAAAAAGGATGAAGGAAAAAATAAAAATGGACAACATGAAATAAAAAGGAAAGAAGAGGAGAAAAGAATGAAAAACAAAGGATGAATAAATTCTAAAGGACCAAATGAAATAATGAGTTAGCTGAAGAAGTATAAAGTAAAAGAAGAACCAAATGAAGGATAAAAGGAAAAAAAAACAGTGAATAAATTTCAAACTGGATATATCTTGTCATGAAATAAGAAACAAATGAACCAAAATTAAGTTTAGTCTATTTTATAACCAAAATTAGGTAACTGAATAACAAAATCCTGTGTAACACATTTCATAATCTATAAGGACTTCATCAGCCTAAAGTAATGTTCTTATTGATGGAATTATATATGTGTAAGGAGAGGAGTAAAATATAAACATAAAAAAAAAAGTTTTAATTCAATATCTTTAAATTTAGTGTTCTCACATTTTTAGTTCTCCTCACTACATAACCAATGTTTATGTTTAGATCTCCCCACTACTCAGAACATTATTTTAGTCTGATGAAGTCCTTTTAGAGGATGAAATGCGTTATGCAGAATTTTTCCAGTTTTGTCATTCAGTTGCCTGACATTGCTCTGATCTAGAGAAATTTATATATAATATTCTCTGATAACCATAGTTGGGAACAAAAGCAGTTTTGAATGTTTTTTAAATCTTGACTGCTGATTACCTGATGTTAGATGAGATGTGTCATTTGAGAGGTGTCATTTACAGTGGATGAAACGGAATAATCACAGACTGTGGCAAAACCAAAATTGTCCATGCTAACTTGGAGCCAAAATCACAATGGTGAAAACAGAAATAGTTTGAAAGGAATGAAGTAAGTAAAGGGTAGTAATGAAGAAGAAAACAGGGTTCTAATGTAGCTTAGTCATTTTGAGATAAACACAAAGCCCTAATTCCATGGGCTCTCTTCATGCAGTCTGAAGGCAGAGCTTGCTTGATATATTCAACATCTTATCACTTTTTCTTACCAAACCAAGTTGTTTTCTCTATATTTTTACTATTCGTTTCCTAAATTTGGTAACAAATGAGAGCAAGTGGTAATTTTCAGCATTCTGTTTAAAGCTATACAACTCTTCCTCTTTGACTGTAGTGTGAAATACATTTCTTGTTAGTGGTTAAAAATAGATATATATATAGTGCCTATAGATAGAAATATATAATTTGGACCTTGATTAACTATTTCTTTTTACTTGTGACTAAGGCTGTTGGGTAATACATTTATTTGATTATTTATTTTTTGTAATTGATAGGTGGACATTAATGGATTGCAATTGAGACTGATTAGCTATTTGTTGGCAGAAACAAGGAAATATATCAAGATGTTGTTATGTTACAGCAATATTTTTTCTTCTCATAATTATCATTTTATTAGGAAAGAGGATCTGAGAGGATTGATGTTGCCCAAAAATTTGTCAAGGTCTGGAATTTGCTTGAATGTACACTTGAAAAGGTACAAGGATTGCTAATAGCAACGTAGCATGAAAGTAATATTGGTTCAGTCATGTTCTTGTAAGAAAAAATAAAAAATAAATTGAGAGAGAACAGTTGGCAGTAGGAGAAAAGAAGAAAGAAGAGTAAGAAGCAAAACCAATAGAGTATGATAGAAAAGCTTAAGGAATACTTTCCACTATGGTATAAATCCTCTTTGGGGATGTAAACTTGCATACAGTGCTGCTTGAAAGTTTATGAATCCTTCCAAACATGGCCACTGTTATTGTGAAAAAAATTAAAATAAGCCTATTAATTGTGCATCCAAGCATTAATTCATAAAGTAGACTTTCTAAATAATGGATACAAAAAAAAAAAAAAAAAAAAAAGGATATATTTTAATTTTGTAAAAAAAAATGGATTTATTTCACCAAAACTGAAAATTTGACATGTTCAAAAGTATGCAGAACCTTTCAGTTAGTGCCTTATGGCACCTACTTTTGCAGTGATTACCTCAACCAAACATCATCTGTAACCATTGATCAGTCTCCAAATATCTGGTGTTGGAGATTTTTGCCCACATCTCCTTGTAAAACTCAGCCAGTTGAAATTGATTGGAGGGACATCCAGCAAGAACCACCAACTTTAGATCAACCACAACATTTCATTTGGATTGTGATCCAAGCTAAGCCAATCCAGAGTACAAATCCACTTTCTTTTAAGCCATTACTAATAAAGAAAGTATGGTGAAAAGTTGGTACCCTCTTCCTGATGTTCTCAGATATCTTCTTTTCTCTTGGCATTGTTGATCTGATATGTTATACTTTGACATTAGAGTAAGTTCTCTTTTTTTCTGTGTTGCCCAAACAACTTATTAAGGATATCTTGTTTGATTGGTCAGCTTAAATTGAATAATTAAGCACCCAAATGTGTTTCAGCTAATTTTATTAATGATTTCATCAATACAGTAGTGGAATCACATACTTCACCAATAGAGAGGGTGGAGGCTACATACTTCATCAATACAGTGTGGGGAGGTTATATAAGAGAATATATTCCATGAAGGGGAAATGACAATTCTTGGGTTTTCCTAATTTGAGGACTGTGAGCTGGAGTTTCTGTATATATCTGGGAAAGATATATTCCCAAAGGGAAATGGCACCAAGTGCTTTTAAGCTGCTGGCGGAGGCAGATTTAACCTCATCCTGGGCCTCTTGGACCAGGCTAAATAGCAACTGCTCAGTTTGGCTGCTGTAAAGAAACTGAATGACTGGCCACACTCATCACTGTAAGAAGTGATGTCACTAATTGACCATCATGTGACCCATGTGACTTCCCTCTACTAAAGGGAGATAATCGCCTTCTGTAGCCCAACAAAATCAAAGAAATTATGAAACTTACTATTAAATCCAGAGGGTGGCTCCAAACTTTTGACCTCTATCAAGGGTGATTTTTATTTTTAACTTTTGGACAGTTTTTACACACTTTGTGTCCAAAAAAGAAAAATTAAATAAAAATCTTAATGGCAGTACATTTACCTTTATTGAAATATATATATATGATAAAAAAGACTGCATTTATTTCACTCAAAAATTGTCAACATGAGTAATTAAGAAAGCTGATGTTTTTAAGGCAGGTAGTCTTTATAATTATAGCTCTTGGTATTTCAATATCAAGAAATAGGGAATTAATTAAAATAATAATTAAAATTAATATATTAACAAATTGAAATACGTCTCCTGAAGAGTGGGTGTAATTCCATAAAATAAGGTAGGTGACTAATTTATTTTACATATATATCAGTTGGCCTTCAAGGCTATAGAACCCAATCTGTCCTGCTATTTACCCATAGCTGGAGGGAGAAGAGAATTAATAGCTTTCCAAAGGGTATTAACACATAAATGAATGTAATGGATTCAACTGGAATTCAAACTTGGCTCTCCAATTCCTCAATCTGAGCCACTATCCACTATTCCATCATGTCTCCTGCAAAGGGTCATTTGTGAACCTTGTGGCATGTAGTGCACCAGGTCTCTGTATTTGGCCCTTCAAAAAGTGTGGTTGGTTCTGCACAAAGCCTTCACCACTATAATCAAATCATATGTGCTGGTGTCTGGGTGTTGGTTCCTAGGAACTGAACTGCTTGACCCTCATACGTTGAATATGATGGGAGAGTCCACCATATATAAAATAAATTAGTCACTATATTTATATATACACTCATATATGCATAAGCACCAGTGCAAGGCTCTAATGACCCTTCCCCATCTATGATAGAGCTGCCTACCCCCAATAAATAAATGGCTCAACCACATTTTACAAGCCTTAGGAGACACAAATGTGTCCATAGAAGTTGAGTACCTCTTTATTTTACTGAACTTTTATTTGACATCTTCGACAAAAGGCCACCACACACACACACACACACACATATATATATATATATATATATATATATATATATATATATATATATATAATAGGAAAAGTTAAGTGATCTATCTGATTGCAACTGGAAACTTTTGAGTCAGCTAACCAGATAGGTCAGAATTTCTGCTAGCCTAAAAAAAAAAATGTAAAATTCTTATAATTTTCACATTTTTATATAAAAAATAGAAGAAAGAAAATAAATGACCTAAAAAAAAACGTCAATATTAATTCTGTATCTTTCCTTTTATAATTTTTAGTTCATGTCTAAAGTTGTTAATTTATATTTCCCAGCTTTTTGTATTGACTT